ATTGACTGTTTATCCAGTTTGAAGCCACATTTTTTACCATCCACTGTTTAGATTTTGGTTCTTTTAAACTCTAGATTTGAACCATATGAAGGATTTTAGTTATCGGACATCTGGATCTTAAGTTATCAAATATACAAGCTGAGCTAACATGCTGCTCGGCTGGCAGCCCCTCCAGGACGTCCTTTGTCTGTCCAACAGCGTGGGAGAAATACTGATTTTTTAGGTGGAACTGCTTTATTCAGTGTTTTTAGCGGTTTTAATCAGCTGGTCTGTTAGCTTTTGGAGAAGAGGAGACCTCTGTGGAGAATTGGATGAAGACAACAACTCCGATGATCCCACGCTACTTCACAATGTCTTTAAACTTTGTCTTTTGCTGTTTAGATGTGAGAAACCCCCTAGCGGCATGTTTAAATGGAAAAAACAAGAACCAAACGGTGACTGTAATGTATGGCAATCATAGAACAAATGATTGGCAACTTGAATTCACATTGAACCAGTTTATGGACATTTTTGCAATCTCTCAATCAAATGGCACGATGACTATATACCACAATAGTGACTACTGTATGCTGAACCTCCAGTAAGGTCAGAAAACATATCAAACAGGTTAACAATGCAGCCGTCAATGGGATCATACATTGTAAAATCAACTGTTTAAATTAAAAAAATGAACAAGTGAACTGTGAATACTCCAAACTTTAAAATGCCCAGAGAATTATGCATTAAGGAGGATTATAGATAACATGTAATGCATACATCTTAAATCCTTAAACCATTAAAAAACCTGAAATAAAAAATTAAAATAAAAACAACTTACACAGTTGGACATGGTGCCATATGCAAAAACACACCTTAAGTAAATTCCAGTGTCAGTTCTCTTTTAATGGGGATTTTAAACAAATTGATCCAAGCTTATTGACATCAATACTTATCATGTTCATGTATCTGGGATGGAAAGGGTCACAATAACCCTTCAGTTTAGTATTGCAGGCGTCTGAATCTCACCTGTCTGTCTGTATATATATATATATATTTTTTTTTTGCAAACCCCTAAAAAGTGAAATCACACCCTGTGACATGGTCTGCAGCTGACTGGTTCACCATCGTTACAAGCACATAACTGAACATGTGAGTACAACAAAAGCATTCCCACATACATCAATCTTATCCCTGTTGTTTTGTCTTCAACACACTTCTTACTCATAGGTATGCACAGGAGTGAACTGGACAATAGCAGAACATCACACCATCAATCACTTTGTGCTTCATTTTAAGTATATTCTCATCACTGGAAACTGTCTGAGGCAGACTAAAAAATATCCCTTGGAAATGCATCCACTGACCACAGAACACAACGATCACTTCTGCGGTCCTTAAAGAGCGGTGTCTGCCATTTACTGTGGGCCAAACCAGGTTAAAAGCACACATTCATGACACCTGGAAAAAAGCATCATAGCAGCTACACGGAACACTCATTCAAGTTGACTTTGTTGGTGAAATATTCTAGCTTGTGTCATCTGGACCTTGGATGTGGACTGGAGCTGTGTGCCAGCTTTGTAGTTGAAAATGTCAAAACACCCCCGCCCTCCCCAGGTGTGTTTAGATTGAAGGAGTTTGAAATCAAGGACGTTTATCCAGCTTCTACACCGCTTGACATTAAAACCATTACGTGATAAATATGATGAAGTTGACTGACAGAGCCTGTGCCAGCATAAATCTTGACTGTAAAATTAATTTCTATATTACATATCTGTAAAGAAGTTAATTAAAGAAACTCCATTAATCTATACTATACAAAATCTATTTAAGACTTGTGCTTGAGATACAAAGTAATCTATCTCAATGAACACGTCTGTTTTTATTGTTCTCAGAGTTATGTTACTGGAGAGTGATGTGCATACTTTTGACTTGCATTACCACACATATGATGACTTAACCTTAACAACAGACGTGGAGTTCACTGTAATGAATAAAGCTAATTCTAAGTCACTATATTGACTTTTAATATCATACAGGTATAAATTAAAAAGAATTACTGCAGTCTGCACAGTATTCTGTAGAATATTATTCTGAGAGGGACTATGGAGCGGGCTAAAGAATGGATCTGCAAACAGAAGTTTAAGGAATTTCTACGTCCATTTATAGATAATTATAGGAGTGGAGATAGAGCTTGTGACCGTGCACTCATTTCCACAATGGTTGAGATTAAAAAACAGAATCAGGCACGGTAGGTACGGTTTTATAAATCTGACGAAAAGAATGCGCATATACTTTATGTGGAACTGCACAGCATTTTTATCCCGTCTCACATCCCACATAAAGAGACAATGTCCCACATTTTGATTGGTTCTAGTTTTCAAAAGTCAAACCAATGCAGGACAGAGGCTTTCTAAGGTGATGAAGAAAGCAGGGAAGGCTGTCTTCACGGGGGTGTGCTTGATGTTGATCAAACTGCACGCATGTGGGTCAAGTGCAGGTTAACCTGCTGCCTTTTAATGCTTTCTGTATTTAGCTAGCATGGGAGTTTAGATGAAATATATTTAAGTATTTCACATGCTAAAGGCCTAACCTGTAACTGCCAGTCTTTAGTGTGCTACTGAATTGAAGTGAAATAGACATCATATCAAAATAGACTACCTCTTAGCTCTAACGTGTCCACATTGTCTCACACAAATATACTCTTCCTCTTCCTACATTTATTGATCTGTTCATCCTGTGTGGGGTGGTGCCTGGTGAAATGGCTGCTTGAATTTCCCTCGGGGATTAAATAAAGTTATTTTTTTTCTATCTATCTATCTATCTATCTATCTTATCATCTCTATCTATCTATCTTACTATCTATCTATAGGGCCTGGAATGTGTATGAGTAGCTTCTGCATTTACTGGTGATGAGTTAAACCTTGCTTGTAGGTTTTATATGTAAGGATGTATTGGTTGTTTTGTAATGTGGACTATATGTTGGTACAGGGTACTTTAGTCATCTGACTTGAATCGCCAATTCTTGTGTCTTCCTGGAAAGAGGACCACAATAGAATCAATCCTCAAACATTTTCAGTTATCAGGTATTTGCAGCAGTGTATGACCGATTTTATTTTTATTTTTTGATATGTCCAATAAATCAAATCAAACTTACCATCAGAGTAAATCATACTAAGTGCAGCATTAAAAGATACTTAGGAGTTTGTGAAAAAAATGTTTTTCTTATTAAATTTAGTTTCCTTAATTAAGAGCAGCACTTACTGATAAGTCACTTTAATGCAGTGCTGTTAATTTGATTATCCACTAACCTGAAGCTTTTGAGATGCCATCCAGCACCACATGTAGGTAGCACTGCTGAATGAATTTTAACTTTGAACATTTAATTCCATCAGTCAGTGTAGAGAACAAAGCTGACCAACACTCCTGTCCTTACTGACACTCCACATAAATGTCTGACTGTCTCAGATTTTCGGTATAAAGATGGCATGCAGCTGCTATGATGCTGTGTTTAGGTGTTTCAAAAATGCCATTTGATAAGTGTATGCATTTTGAAAAATAAAACGGTGCAGGAGTTATATGTACACATTTGTACATTTTCTACACACACTACGGTGAAAACAAAAATTTGGATGCACTATGCTGTAGGACATTGCCTGAGAAATCATGGTGTACTATTGATTATTCTGAACTGTTTATCATGAAGGATCTGTTACTCTGTTTTGCATACAACTGTAAAAATACAGTAAAATTCAACAATCACATTGCATTTTTTCCTTTTTTGTCATTTACTTAGAAAAAGCTTAATGGTATTGTACAGATATTGAACAGGACGTGACACAATAATAATCTGAATGTACACTTCAATATTGGGCAATAAACAGTCAACTATCAACAGTTACATGTATTTTTTTTCTTTTTCCCTTTTCACATACAAAAAGGTTGGGGAGACACAAACTCAGTAGTTCTACCATCATCAAATTTAGTGCATGATTTTAACATTTTTCCCTTCCTCGGATTGACGGCTCTCACTCTTGGTGGACCAACAGAGAACAGACTCCGATGCAAAGCCATAGAAACAAAAAGAGGACTAAGGGTGGAACCACTGGCGCTCTTGGGTTTCCATTCTTCTTATAGGACTAATAGTCTGTTCTTGCTGTTCAATGCTGAGAGAAGCTTAAAGGTTTTCACATTTCACATCAGAACTTGAGCAGGCAGAGCAAGGGTACAGTCAGCAGGAGGCATACGGAGCAACGGGGCAACTCGGCGGCCCCGTTCACATCGTGCATCGCACCGGGACCTGCAGCAGAAAGACACACTCCATCACCAAGGTCAGCGTTACATACAAACCTGCACTCTGATTCATTATGGAGTATAGATAACTGCAGTTCATATGTTCGTGTGTTATTTCCCCGGCCAAATAATAGCTTTACATTGGTCCTGCAATTGCCATGGAAACTAGTAAATGTTAGAAATAAAAAGGTAAATCAGTGAATAACATACAGTGGGTGGCCTTCATGTCTGGATTTTAATTTAATGTGTGCAGCTGCTATCATGAAAAAAGGCAGCCACTAAAATAGTCAATAAATGAATAATAATTTAATCATAATTAACACTTCCATTCACACAAATGTGCTTTTTTTTCTTTTGCTGCATTTCTTTCACAGACTTACCATAAAGGATTATGCTGGCATTAGTGATTCCCATGGTGTTCATGGCAACACAAGTATAGTTTCCATAGTCTTCTTCCGAGACGTTGAAGAAGACAAGCATGGATTGTTTACCTTGATTCTCGATCTTAACTCCATTTAGTCCATTAAAGAGCCTGTAAGAGAGAGGGGAGCAGCTATCAAGGTCTTTGCTGCCGAGCAGTAAAGAAAATGTGTTTTCCTTGAATCGTTTTGTCTTTTTGTTTAGACCTTTTGTCAAACCTCTAGCAGATGCATTTAAAATTTATATCTACATGAAATTAGAAAATTATTTAAACCCACGGTCTGTGAAGGCAAAATAAAATACCGCTCACTGCCTTCTTGAAGTAACTGTGCATGCATTTGTGTGCTTCATCCTTCAGTGCACGACAGCCTTCCTTCTGTTTCACTCATTGCATTTCCTATTCCTCTGCTACTGTTTCATTGCCTTATTTCATGTTTGCAGACGCCAGTCATGTATTTTATCAGCGTCCTCCATCTTTTTGGTCTTAAGGACTGATTTTGTCTTTTTGGGACTGATGAGCAATGCTGCTGTAACCGTCAGGGACCATTTAACAGTGCAACATAGGCTGTGTTTACATCAGCTCACCAGCTCTGGGGCCGCTTTCTTCCCAGTCTACAGCCTTCAGTTGGAAAACACTGAATTATACTATAATATCCTCTAAACCTCCCAGCCGCACACCCCACTGACATAAACCAATTACAGTGTAAAAATAATAATAGTAGCCTTTGGTGTCCAATGCCTGTTTTGCAAATGATTGGACTAAAGATATTTTTAATGGAAATTATGAATTTTCATAATGTGATTAAAAACAGTATTTTTGCCCCCAGAGTGAAGAAAAATGCAGGGCATGAAGGATTATCTCATTACATCAAAAGCATGTCTTATATTAAACAAGGCTGTGTGTATAAAGCCATCACTTATCAACAAAGATGACACAGTCTGGCTTATTTCAAATTAGACAAGTCCACACCCTACAGCAGAATAGGTGTCTTTGTGTGTCTGACTCTTACTTCAAACTATTCTAAGTCTTTAGGAATCACAGAGCTCAGAGGAAAAACTTGCCTGCGGTCTTCTTTGTACCACTCAAAATCTGCCCTGGGGACAGCAGAGGCTTCGCATTGCAGGACTCCTCTTTGTCCAACTGCAGTACCCGTACTCCTCGCTTTAGAAATGAAGGGAGGATCTATAAAACAGTGAAATGAGTTTTACATAGGCATCATATAGAAGACAAAACAACATGTGCTTGGTGTTTTGGGCTGTTCATACTCCTGCTTCTTTAAAAGTTTATATATATATTGTGTGTGTGTCGTGTGTGTGCATATATATGTGTGTGTGTGTGAATACAGACTGGGAGGGAGCTAAACTATTTGCGACAGCATGCAGTTGAATCTTCACTCAGCCTTGACTATATACATGTTGTGAAGTCACAAAGCCTCATGAGTCTGGGTAAACCACATTATAATCCCAGTATAACTCTACCAATAGTTGCTTATTTTGTAACAGTAGGTGCAAAGAAGACAAAACAGTAAAAATAATTTCTATTAAATTAACTAACTTCCAACAATTCAAAATCAGGCTTTATGTGAGGATGTATACAAGAAATGGCTATTTGCTTTTTAATTAATTCCCCATAAGTCCTGATCTCCACAATGAATGTGATAGTTTGGGCTCTTACAGTTGATGGTGACTTGCACCGTTCTGACATCGGGGCTCGAGATGTCATTAGACGCGATGCATTCATACGATCCTGACTGCTCTTTGGTGACTGCTATCAGTTCCAGATGTTCCCCCTCTGTCACAAATTTATGAGTGCCTGTAGAGAAGCAAAGAAACAGAGAAAGAAATGCATTATTAAATAAGTCCTAGTATTGGTAAATAAGAGAAATGCTCTGACCTTCATAGCATTTTCAATTCCTACATAAGCGATACTAGTGCAGATATTGTATTGAATTTCAGTAGCCTGTAATTGACACAAAGAATATCACAGTATGTTGACCAGACCTGCCATTACCATGATGTGGTTTGTTTAGCCTGTAGGGCAGTGCCAGGGGTTATTTGTCCTGCAGCTGTCTGTCTTTCAGCTCTGCTAGCAGCCTGGCTTTAGCTATGGCAGTGCTGGTCGATGGTTCAGTCCAATACTCTTGATTCATTGCCAAACCTCATTAACCATCAGCTGTACTTTGTGATTAATGCTAATTAGAAAACAAAGATGATTAACATTGTGAACATGATGCATAATATTCAGCATATCACCATTACTATTATAGGCATGTTAGCAGGTCAAAGCATTGTATGCTCAGGTATCTGTAGAGACTTGCTGTCCTGTCAACCTTCTTACTGCCACTCCTACTGGACTTACAGATACAGCGCACAGCCTCTTTATTGAACGAAAGCTTAACAAGTGCAGTGGTTGATGTGGTTTGCCCCTAAAATGGGTCAATATTTCAAAAAGTTGGTTCCCACTTTTCCCATCATCATCGCAGGGAAACATCCAGTCGGTACGTTTGTAAAGCAGGCTTTCTGTTAAGGATTGGTTGTCTGTGTGTCCAAAAGTCCAAGGGGACTGGTGGATTAAAAATAAACACATTTTTCTACCTTCCAAAATAAAACCGTAAAATCTGTGCCCTTTTTGTGTCACACATACATTTGAGTGCAGTGCCACAAACATATATGTGTGAGTGTCAAAATCCAACATAGACAGCAGAGGACAGAAGCAGTGCGTCTGTACATGACACCATTATACGATAGAGACTCTCAGCATATTGTTTTTTATTACATAACTATTTTGGAACAAACATTTACCCGCCAGTGTGGCAGATAGCCTTCTGAGATTTACTCACCAAACAGAAAATCTGAGTAATTTTCTAGGGCTGCACAATATGGTAAAAACATCGTATTGAGATTATTTTGACATATATTGTGATTGTGATATGATTCACAATTATTGTGGGAATGATCATTATTGCATCACATAATTGTATTGTACGTCAGGGCATCTCTTTCGAACTACAGTACTTCATTATAACGCTGTTTGTCATATTTTATCTTTCTCAAAAAATTGCAGCTTCTGGGATTTGGATATTGCATCAGGCCATAATATTATGAATAATTATTATGACAATATTTTGATTCATTGTCCAACCCTATCATTTTCTCAAGAATCGATGAAACAGAGTTGCAGAAGACATACATATACAACTGTTTTGAACAGACTAAGCTACATGGCTGGTAAATTGACTGTGACATAAAAGCAGTGGGTTGTTTCTTTTTAAGCAGTGCACATGTACGCTACATCAGTGCTTGATTGTTATTTAAAGTGGACCTATTTTGCTCATTTTACAACTCTGTATTCTCAGTGAGAGTAGCTTTGCATGATTCACTCTTCAAAACGTCCTTATTTATCTTATAGTGGCCTTTCATACAGCCCCTCAGTTCACCCTCTGTCTGAAACAAGCCATCTCTTAAAGCCCCTCCCTCCTTAAAAGCCCACTGGCAACTTCAGGGATAGTATCCTGAGAGGCAGCACTTTGTGCTTGTGACTTCTGCTTCATCCTCACGCGCTCAACAGCATGACAGCTTCAATACCTTAGCTTGGACAATAGTAACATGAGTAAGGCACTGAGTTTGATGAAGTTACTGTTTATCAGTATTTGTGGGCTGGGTGTCAGAAATGAACATTATGGATTTAATAGTTAATGTATTGATTTGGTGTTGCTATATGATTGTGTAAAGTTCCAGTGTGTAACATTTATTGGGATGGATCAGCATAAGTGGAATACAATATTCATATTTATTTTTGTCATTAGTGTATAATCATCTGAATATAGGAAATATGTTGTTATTATCTTTAGAATTAGTTATTTATATCTACAGATGCTATGGGTCGCCTTCCATGGAGTCTGCCATGTTAGATAGATGCCACTAAAGCCTAAACACTGGACCTTTTAAAAAAAAATAAAAATAATGATAGGTCCCATTTAACTGTGAATGCAAAGGAAAGGACAGTGACTGCTGTGCAGATAATGTATGCTTTTGTACTGGTGGGATGTTAAAAAGAAACAGTCACTCTTTAAATAGGGAACTACAAGAATAATCCAAAGTAGAGTAGAAACTGGCTGATGGAATAAGACATTATGAATACACTGTTTGTTACACACTAATTGTGCACAAATTGCCAGATACCTCTTCTTTTTCTTGGGATTATCTTTGTCGATATCTTAATTTAAAAAGAAACAGACCGTAGTAGCAGTCTGCCCCAGAAACTGGGATTTTCTCTGTTTCCTAATGCCTCCAATGACAGCTCAGGGCATGCACTCATTACACAAAGAAAATAAACTAATTGCTTGAAACAAGCCCACTTGAGTAACACCAACATTTACCCTTGACACCAGCAATGTTAAAAGCATGTTCTGGTGACAGAGGAACCTTAAGCTATTGCTGTGTGGGTGGGAAAATGGATAGCAGCACTAATCCCAATCAGTAGAAATGTCAATCCAGCAATATCTCCACATTAGCATAATATCATTATGTTTTCCAAATCCTCAGCTGCAGACACTGTTGCAGCTGGCTGGGGATTCACTGAAAAGGTTGTGGGCTAGGGATAATCAGCTTGTTGCATAGAACCAGCAAACTGCTATCACAGGTAATTGGACATTTAATCACGGATAACTATATTAGACAGACTGTGGGTGACAGAATGCTGTTGAGTTACTAGCTGGTACTGTGAAAATTATGGCCGAGGGTGGAAGGAAGGTAACTGTCAAATTAAAATCTAATTAGGTCATTGCCTTGTAGTACACTGGATTATTACTTTCTAGATTGCCTATTGCATTGTTGTTTGTTGTGGTATACCAATGCCTTGAAAACCTACAATTACACTTATGTTTGCATTATAAATCTAAGTAGATGGTAACTAGTATATGTTTTGAATTCCATGACATAAATAGTTGGATATCTCAGTCTGGGACATAGTGATAGACCCACTGGTGGACATTGTCATGGCAGAGCCACCTCATCAGTGACAGTTGACGGTGGCTCGGTGGTTATCGTTAGTGTAAACACTTGGCTATGCTTGATTTTGGACTTGTCCGTAGCAGGAAACGATTACGCCTCGACTGGTCACACACAATCTGGTATTCCAGATAAACAGTGCGCTAAAATGTTTCTGACTTGATTTTTAGCAAGAAATAGACAATGCAGTAACAAAATCTTCAGCACTGCCTAGTTTGTGCATTCACCTGGACAGACTCAGTGAAAATGACCTGTCAATCATAAGGTACTTTCTCCCATTCAGCCATTTTGATGTTTCATTTAGGTAAAATTTATGGTCCCATTTAGGAGGGTAAAATTAGCCTCCAGCCCACCCTGCCGGCGACCTGCGCTGCGCCAACAAAACAAACCATCAAACACCCAAGAAGGCCCAAAGAGATCATTGTGGACTTGCACACACACCCCCATCCGTATCCAACGGAACCGAGGCTTGCAGCGTCGGTTCTCCAACTCCCTCCATAAATCAGAGTTCGGTACATGGGG